AGTGTACTTACCCCAGACCTGAATTCCAAAATACCACCCCCTTTTTAGTACCCATCACCCCCCGAAAAGACAATTTTTCCCTTACCCCCTCACTCTCTAACTTTCTCTCGCCACTCTGTCTCACATTTTCTGCAAGATAATTGTTGAAGGAGGCCAGCTCAGCAGTAAAGCCTGCTTTGTTCCATCATTGGGGTCTTTGCTTTTAAGAAACCCAATAAAGGTCGAAAAGATCTTTGAACCACTACAAAAGTAATTCAAGAAAATTTTATGATGTTCTGTTCACAACTTTCCACAAAACCACCTTTAACAGTATAAACAGGAAACACTAGTTCCTAGGAAGCAAAATATCAGTATGTTTGAGCCAATAAGAACTTGACCATTGTAGATATAGTTTGCGCATATAATATTTTCTGGTTTAATCACATTTTTAATAGAACTATCACTAAAATCTGCTAATCGGAAATAAGTCTAAGTGGATAAAAGTTAACCACCTTCAAGCTCCGACTTCAAAAGCACAGGATAGAGATGAAATTACAAGAATGTGCTATAATGAAAGCGAAAAACCAGGAAGTTGTATAATATGATAACGTTCTTCCATAAGAAGTAACCAAAATGTGAGAAGTAAGGATCTTATATAAGCATAAAAGATGTGAATCATACACTGAAGCTTTCTCAGGGGGTGTAACGAGCGAGGGTTCAGGGAACTTTTCCTCTAACACCTGCGTTATAACATCCGAATCGGCAATCCACTTCTCGTCTAGCTTGATCAAGGGCACTTTACCTTCTGGAGATATCTTCAACAACCTATACGTACATATAGTAAAAGGCAACAAAAGAAGCATTCACAAGATTCAGCAATTTTCAGCAAATCAAATACAAAAATCAGACAGAAACAACAACATTAGTGAATTAGGGTAATCACCAATCAGGTTTGTTCTTGAAATTAACCAACTTTAACTCATACGGAAGGTGTTTTTCTTCCAATGTAAGAAGAACCCTTTGAGTGAATGGACCTAAGAACACAATCCCACAAAATAAAACATGGCAGAAAACACGAATTTAATCATTCCAAGAGAGATAATTGATGAAAAAAAAAGAAAATTTGCAAGCTTTCCCAATTTTCAACCAATTGCTCGCTAATCATAACAAAGTTGTTTCAACACACCAAGAATCAAATCAAACGAATAAAGCAAAACAAAGGCAGATTCTCTTTCAAGGTTTGTCAGAACGTACAGTCACCGAGCTTGTTGGGAGTGGTGACAGATTCTTTGGCGCAGACTTCGATCGGGTCTGATGATTTCGAGCTCATCGTTGCGCTTCGAGTTTAATCTACGTTCGTCTGTCAATTTTGTTTCCTACAGATCTTGTGAACTCTAGACAGTGTCACCGTGGAAAGTGACTCCGCTAAATATTAGGAAAAAAAAATAAAGAACGAGAAATTTAGAAAACAGAAAGCAGAATGTAGCGTGCAAGTGACGCGGACTGTCTTCTTACAAGGCCCTGAAATCGACGCGTGGAAGGTGAATTTAGATGACACACGAGATTTGAAATTTCGATTATTTTTTATTTGTGTTATTATTATTTTTTTATTTGATTTATTTGTGTTAATTGTTTTACCGGTGAAATGAGGGTGGGGGAGTCTAAACTACACAGACTGTGTTATGACTAGGGCTGCAAACGAGTCGAGCGGCTCACGAGCCGCTCGCGAGCGCTCGAGTCAAATCTCGATTTGAGCTCGAATTTGACCGAACTCGAGTCGAGCTCGAGCGGCTCGAGCTCGAACTCGAGTCGAGCTCAAGCCTATATTTTGTCTTATCGAGCGGCTCGTCGAGCGGCTCGAGATATACGTTAATGACAAAAATACCCCTTATTATATATATTAGCATAGGTGCTTAATGATAATTTTATCTAATTTTCGAGCCGAACTCGAGTCGAGCTCGAGCATTTTGATTTCGAGTCAAGCACGAGTCGAACTCGAGCTATTGTAATTTCTTATCGAGTCGAGCTCGAGCCTAAAAAATCGAGCTCGACGAGCTCGAGCTCGAGCTCGAGCAGCTAAAAAAATACTCAATCCTGCTCGATAACGCCATTGCTCGACTCGGCTCGGCTCGTTTGCACCCCTAGTTATGACACATAAATTAAATGGGATATGTTGGATTAATATAATAATAATAATAATAATAATTATGAAAAATACTATGGTCCCATTTCGAAACCATTCCATCATATTTTGTAACCGTTAGATCAACTATCCACGACAGTTACATGATGATCTAACAGTTACAAATCCCGACAGAATGGTTCCGTAACGGGACCGTAGCATTTTCTATAATTATATTGTATTATAATGGTTATTGGAGGGAAAATGCCACATAGGTTAAATTTTAGGTTTTTATTTAATAATTTGTCAGTAATTATATATATATATATATATATATATATGTGTGTGTGTGTGTGTGTGTGTGCGCTCAAATGAGAATCTATATATATATAAAAAGAATTACCATTTTTTAAAAATAGTAAGTAGAAAATCTAACAACATTAATTGCATGCCGTTTTTTGGATTATTTTGAATTTTTTTAAACAACAATTTTGCAAGCATTAAATGTAGCCTAAAATTGTGGATTTGGAAAACAAAAAAACGTAATTATAGCTTCACAAATATCACACATGTTTCCAAAATTATAGCATTGTGTTATTTGTCCTTTTTTTTTACATAAGTAATTGAAAGAAATTAGGATGCATCTATAATTAATGTATAATCGAGTATACCGCTCATAGTTTCAATAGATAAAATTGCATAAAACTTACAAGTATAATTTTATAATTTTTTTAATATAATACATAATTTACAAATTTTCAAATTTCTATCCCAATGTTTAATAACTAAGATTTATAAATATAATCATATTTATGGCATACTAATTTATAATATTTACTTCATAATTTAAATTGAATATGATTTGTAATCAAAATAAAATGAAATAAGTACACAATACAAAACATTTGATATTTCTTATTCTTTTTTTTTTCATCAACACACTACCTCTAATAATTTAAAAATCAAGTCCTATAAACTAACGGGGTACACGCAATAAAATGAACTTGCATTTAAATAAGATTCCAACATTTTTTGATTCTTACAATCCAACATTTCCGAATATAAACAAATTTAATTAACATAGCATTCTTTAGATGAACAATCAAATCGTACAATTAAACAAAAAAAAAACCCCCCGACAAATTTTACTCCCAAGTTTGTTTAACACACACGTGTATCAAGAGATATTTGAAGTATTGAAATTATGAATAATCATAACAAATGCAGAAATAAATAATCAACAAATAAATTATTTATTTTAATTCCTATATATCATGATAATGTGATAAGCATTTTTTTTTTTTTTTGTCAAATCAAACGTTTTCAAATTGAAGTATGTCATACACATTTTAAAACGAATTGGGTTTAGATTAGATACCAAGTTTTTTGTTATTCTAGAATCAGAATCCACAATAGTTAAATAATGTCATACACACATTCAAACGAATTTAAATATGAGTTAGATTGGAAGATTTTTGTGATTTATATATATAAGAATTACCATTTACTAAAAATAGTAGTAAAAAATTTAGGAAGCATTTAATGCATACCATTTTTTGAATTGTTTTAAATATATGCATTAATTGCTTCAATATACACGTTTTCAAATAAAATCAAATAAGATATGATCAAAAAATTACTTAAATAAATTTATTAATATCTACAATATTTACAATGATATTCATTATAATAAATTATAAGATTGATTTTCCGTGATTCATGTTAATAATATTTTGGTCAAGATAAATATTAATTTATTAAAATTTGTAATACTTTCATTGATATTCATTATAATAAATTACATGACTGATTTCCATGATCCATGTTGATAATAATGTGGTCAAGATAAATATTACACCATATTTTAAGTTATAAAAATAAAATTAATTTGGAAAACCGTAGCATGTTAGGTAGAAATTGTTTTTCAAATAATCAGGCAAAATCAATTTGGTGAATTAATCTTTGCCAATATTTTTTTAAGCTTTATTTTGTTAAAATAAATTGTTTTTAAAATTAATATAATTTATCAATACTATATAATAACCAGATACATTAAATATTTTTACTATTGGTAAAAACTTAAAATTAAAATATATTAACCATTTTTTAGAATTTTTTGTATATTATTGGCACCCATGATTTTTTTTTTTTAATTTTTCCATTTTGATTTATTTCTATAATTAAATTCTTGTAAAATATATTTTCTTTGCAGAGTATGCGAAATAAACTATAAATCCTTAGAATGCAAATTAGAAAAAACTTAATCATAGAAGGGATTATTTTTTGGTATTTTCCAAATCAAAGTTTAATTAGTTTACAACATTAAATTTTCAAAAAATATGTGTATATTTTGTAAAATATTTATACACTGTTTAAGTTTAAATTTATTTACATACTTTAAAGTGATTACATAAATAAATAATAGCAACGTGCATTAAATATCTTTCATTACATAAAATAAAATAAAAAGAAAATGCAACTTCTATAACATTATAAATAATAATGACATTAAATGACAACAAAGTTTATAATAAAATAATATTTAAGTATTATATGGTGAACAAGAATAAGTAAAATTATTATTCTCTCTTATATCAAGGAATATATATATATTAAAATTAAATTTATATTAATATAAATGTATTAGTGAGATATTATATTAATTATTTTACAAGCTAGCCCTAACATGCTCATATTTAACTAACAAAACAACGTTGATTAAAAGAGGTGCAAAATAGATGATAACCTTATTGTTTATTACACTTAACGCTGATTAAAATAGGTGAAAAATAGATGATATTGCTTTATATACTTAAACGGACAGCTCATTTAATATTTTTGTCCCGTGCATCGCACGGGGTACGTACTAGTAAGTCATAATGAAAGAAATAAAAATAATTGTGAACCATTAGATCTATTCTATCAATCTACCTTCCTATTTAATAAGAAAATATCTAACCTGTTGAAAAAACGACACGTGGCAATGTCATTTGCTTTGTTTTTGCTTCTTTTCTTGCGCTGCGTGTTGGGGAAATGAGTTGAGGTCATTTTTGTAATTTTATTCTTTTCTTCCTTTCCTTTATGCTTTCTTCAGTTTCTTTCTTTCCTCATTCTTTTTCTTGTTCGCGAAATTTCCCTCAACGTTTTTTCCCCCTTTATTGTTTCGATT